ACAAAAATATCTTGAAATACTAAAGAGTAAATCTATTCAATAAAATCGCCATTAGCTGCAACCACGAACTTTAAGTGACTTCGGAATCTCCTGCATCTTTTCTGGACGATCTCCCTGTTTAAGCTTGTGAATGCTGTCATAACCCTTGCTTTCCGTTCATTTTTTGGTGTTACGAGGTTTTTTATTGGTCTCTCGCTCACTTGCGCCCCACACATTATAATCAAGGGGGTTGCAGTCTAAGGAGTTAGGTGGCCAGATGTAAGGTGTGATGCAGTCGTAGAAATTGTCTAACAGCCATGACTGGCTTCTCCTGCTTGTGTGGCATAGTGCAGAGTCTTTTTTTCACATATAGGATCTTCCAGTAGTCACCCTCTTGACCCAGGACACCACTACCTCCTCAAGGACTTGATGCAGGCCTTCATGTTGAGTATAAGGCCCTCACCATCAAATTCAGGGGTTCTTTACTTATCAGAAACGATCAGAATGAGTTTTTCAGAGATGCTGTTCCTTCATAAATACCATTATATATGAATGTATGAGAAAGTAGTTATTGCAGCTTGAATGTGTGAAACTGAAGTTAACTATTCGTGTATCTTTATCGGTTTCGATGGGAAAATTTGAAGACAAGCTTTCGTCTATCTTTTGTCTAAATTACGTAAAAACTAAAATAACACTGACATTTCATTTTAACAGACATATTTAACAAAATTACGCAAAATTATCTTGAAATACTAAAGAGTAAACTTGTTCAATAAAATCATCATTAGTTTCAACCGTGGCCTCTAGATGACTTTGGAATCTCCTTCATCTTTTCTGGACGATCTCCTTGTTTAACTTGGTGATTGCTCGGTTTTTTAAATAAACAGTATCAATTACATTTACTGTCCAGAAGTTTCGTAGAATATATGTGCTTCTCCGATGGGAACCGAACCTGTAACCCCAAAGGAAACCACCATTTGATCGTGAAGTGCTTTTAACCATTCACCTACAAAGAAGTGTCTGGTTAGCAAAGTCCGAATTACTGTTTATAAACAACAAATCTTCTACGATCTTTCCCGAGCGATCGTATCTGCTCACGAAACGTACCTTAACGTAAAAATTGACAACTTATTATGAAATCGCTTAAATGGACTAAACCCATTTCATAATATGTTGTCAATGTTTCGTAGACGCAACCTCCAGCAATCAGTCCGTCCACTCGTCAGGGAGATATCAGCAATTGATGGTTTATTTTTCTCGTTTTTTTGTCTTTTATATATGCACTTCACAGACACACACAGACACACACAGACTCACTCACACACACACACACACACATACAAATACATATATATATATATATATATATATATATATATATATTAAATAAAAACATGCCACTTTAAGGTTCCATGTAATAAATTATTTCACCACAGCCCTTTAAATTATTTGCTCTGGATTTACATTGAGCTCTCTGGATTTTATCCTCCTTGGGTCTACCCACACGGATTACCTAGTTTTTCATAAACTATATATATATATATATATATATATATATATATATATATATATATATATATATATATATATATAATTAAAATTAATGATTTAAAATATGTTTTTTTCGCTACACAGTTCTAACCATGTTTCAAAAATGGAAGCTAAAAGCCACGAATTTAATTTTGTGATTAAATTAAAGACATTAGTTCCATTTCATCCTCAAGCGAATTTTGGAGTATATATATATATATATATATTAAACATTGAATTTTAGTTATGATCAAACCACATAAAGTTAGAAAGTTACAAACGTTTGTAGCTTTTTGCGGGGGGGGTTCTTTGTTTGTTTTCCTTATCTTGTGGTTTTTGTTGGGTTTTTTTTCTTTATTATTTTATAATTATTAAATACTAGTTTGTCTAAAAAGTAAAAAAGAGATTTGGAAACTTTTGCAGACACCTATTACAAACTTCCCATTTATTTCGTTCAGGTTCGTCATGTACTTGTAAAATTAATAAAAAAAACTCGGTGTGAAAAGCACACTCACAAATTATTCCTCAGTCATCAAAAAGTGAAATGTTTGTATGGCGAAAGTGAAGTGAAACTGTAAACAGACGAAGAATATAGTTTGTGTTTGAAGGCGCCACAGAAAATGTTACCTCGTCGTTTAGGAGTCTTTCCCCTTCTCTCTCTAAATTTTTTTTTTCATTTATCTGCGGTGGGCCTATTGCGCGCAGTAAACGTTTATGAGGGAAAAAAAATAAAAAGAGGCGGGAACAAAGGGGAGGTAACAAGAAGCAAACGGCGCAATTGTTGGTTGGCTTTGAATAACAACAACGACAACAACAACAAAAAAAAACAGGCTGAAGAGGAGGGACAAAGTAAATGAAACGCGATGCTTTGGGTAAAGAAGACATGCATGTAATTAAAGAGAGAAAGGATTTTTTTTCTTTTGTTAAATAAAAGATATTTCAGAAAATAAAACATCTTTATAATCTGTTTAAAAAGTCTTAAACATTTTGTTTTTATTATGAGTGGAATTTTAAACGTCGATTTAAAAGAAACAAAAAGAACAAACAAAAAGATAAAGAAGAAAATTATTAAATTTCAAATAATTTACGATTATTAAAGGTAAAAAAATAAGTTTTTTAAATTTTAAATAACTTACGATTATTAAGAGATAAAGAAGAAAATTTTAAATTTTAAATAATTTACAATTATTAACAGATATAGAACATTTTTAAATTTTAAATAATTTACGATTATTATGCAGTAAAGAAGAAAATTTTAAATTTTAAATAATTTACAATTAAGAGTTTAAAAAGAACATTGTTAATTTTTAAATAATTTACGATTATTAAGCAATAAAGAAGAAAATTTTAATTTTAGAAAAATGTTAAATTTTAAATTATTACCAATTATTAAGCGATAAAGAAGAACATTTTTAAATTTTAAATAAGTTACGATTATTAAGAGATAAAGAAGAAAAATATTAAATTTTAAATAATTTCCAATTATTAAGTGATAACGAAGAAAAATTTTAAATGTTAAAGGTTAAATGTTTAAGAGTTAAAGAAGAAAATTTTTGAATTTTACATAATTTATGATTATTAAGAAATAAAGAAAATTTTAAATAATTTCCGATTATTAAGATTTCCCGTTCGATTTATTCCTATTTGTATCAATTAAATCGTTCTTTACTTTTATTATGAAAATGTATAATGATTTTTTATTTTATTTTAATGATATTGATAAAAAAAATACTTAAACGTATTACAAAATTTCATAATTCTATGTAACGTGTTTCGACTTCTGATAGTACTTCATCAGAATAAGTAATGTTTTCATCGATGTAATTATATATATTTTGTGGAAGGAGTAAACATAAATGTCGCTAATAATTATGCACTGAGGAGAAACGCTGAAAATATAGGGATTCTAATTTTTTTATTTATTTATTTTTTATTTATTTTATTTATTTATTTATTTATTTATTTATTTTGGAATTTCTAGCGTTTAACCTGTCTGGATCAGCCGATCTGATTTAGTTTCCAAAAGTTTTTGTTTACATTTTTGTCATCGTTATTTTAAAATAGCCTACACGTTTCTGTTTGATGCATAAATATAGCTGACTTTTACGACTATATTTTTCCTACGCTATACACATATATAATTTCATTAATAAGACTATTACTTTAGCCTGATGAAGTTCTTTCAGGAAACGAAACGCGTTACATAAGATGTTTTTTTTTCGTTTCCTCACTTGCCCAACATTTTTCTGATATATATATATATATATGAGCAATTGAGCAAACGAAAAAAAATCTTATGTAACGTTACATATATATATATATATATATTGTCATCCACAGACAGACTGTTTCGCTGTATCACAGCTCATCAGTGTGGCTAGACGTCCGGTTGCCTCTAGCTAGGATCGAAACCCGAATTGGCGTCAGTCGGGAATTCTACCACTAAGCCGTTGGCGCACGGCAGGGATGAAGGTGAATTTAAGTGTATTTATTTTTAGATAAACATACAGTGACTGAGAGAACTCAATTCGATTTACCGAAGAGTCTTGCATTATTAGCCATAATGATCACTGTTTACAAACCAACACTTCCTCCCCAGAGAGCTCAACCGAAATAAAAAATTTTCAGGTATATATATATATATATATATATATATATATATATATATATATATATATATATATATATATACTATTCATAATTGAATAAATAACCTTGAATCAAATCAACAACAGTTATCCGTTATCCCAATGTCTCTTTACTTAAAGAAACACTCAAGATAAAACTAAACAAATTGAACTTTTTCATACAAAGGTCCACACTTTGTCAAGTTTTTAGAATCAAGAAACAAATATTACAAATCCTAATTACGTATCTTTGCATATCCCTCGCTATGTGAGTTAGTTCCTTAGTTAGTTCGCATGACCGTTACGCCCTGCCAATACCTCATAAATGCTGGACTATTGCGTTTTGACCGCGTGAAAACACGCAACTGACATATCACTTCGACGCCACTTGGTTTTCAGTGAGAAAATAAAAGAAAGATAGAGAAAAAGAAAAAGAAAGAAAGGTAGATAGAAGTTTTAGCGTCTGTTACGGTGAAATGGAAAATGTTATCAATTTCAAATCTTTTTGTACACCATTACTGATAAATAAATTTATTAATGAGAATTTCTGCAAGATAAGTTTTCGGCGAGTTAAATATTAATAGAACGAACAGATATGCCAATTACAGGTAAGCTCGACTTTACACGAATAAAAAGTCCCGATTTTTACTCGTGTAAAAGCGATTAAGTCTGGTGCGTTAGTTATTTACACACGCGTCGATTCAGATCATCCATCAAAATGCTAAAAAATCTGTTTGAAAACACTTTCTACTGACACGAAATGTTAAACGTACATTTTTCTTTGTGATATTAGTTGTCTATCACTACAAGTCCGTAATAAAAGTATTCTATATTATATTTCTACTTAAAAAAAGGGGAAAAATTTTAAGAACAAAGGCATAGATAGATAGATAGATAGATGTGTCCAGACTGTGATAGATAGAGACGAACAGTTTGTGATAGATAGATAGATAGATAGATAGATAGATAGATGTGCCCAGACTGTGATAGAAACGAACAGTTTTTGATAGATAGATAGATAGATAGATAGATAGATAGATAGATAGATAGATAGATGTGTAGAGAGTCTGATAGATATATACAAACAATTTGTGATAGATAGATAGATAGATAGATAGATAGATAGATAGATAGATAGATAGATAGATAGATGTGTCCAGACTGTGATAGAGACGAACAGTTTGTGATAGATAGATAGATAGATAGATAGATAGATAGATAGATAGATAGATAGATAGATGACAAAAAACTAGATGTGCATTTCTGATGGCGCTAACTTCACTGTAAACTTATCCCATCTTCTGTTAACTCGTTGAATGTAAATATTGGATATGTGGTGTGTCTAACTTTCGTACAATGAAAAAACAGGGGTCAAATATGCATATTTGGTAAATCTTTCAAGTAAGAAAAGGATGTGCTCCAAGGAAAACTGCCTTTGAAATATTGTTCTATTTTTTTTCATAAGCCAAACCTTCTGTCAAAATCAGCGGCAAACTTATGCACATTTCTAACTGCAAAATGACCGTTTAAAATGATCAGGCTTATAAAAAAAAACATTTCTTTAGAATCTTAAAAAAAAATGCTTCAATAAATGCATAACACGGCATAGTTATTTGCTGAACTGGGGATTTTCAAATGTCACTTTACAATAAGTTCACATGATATGGTGCGTTGGATTAAGGGCACTGACAAGATGATGATTGTTGAAAACACCCAACATACCCACCCCCATATATATATGTCGTTTTTGGACGTATTTTTTAACGTCAAAAAACGACATCATTACGTCATTATTTTTGCACCAACCTAATATATATATATATATATATATATATATATATATATATATATATATATATATATATCATAGAATAAAAAATGAAATTATATGAATCATAAAGTAAATAATAAGCACATTTATATTACGATAAATATTTGTTGTATATGTTGAATAAATATGCTCACAATCTGATATTTACAGAAAGTCAATTGTTTTAAGCAAATGAAATGTATAATTAATTTAATTTTCATTCATTAGGATTACTCCATAATAGTGATGATGATCATTTCACCTTATAAATTAAAATTAAATTATACAACTTAGATTATATATCAACTGGATTTCCTATATCTATCTATCTATCTATCTATCTATCTATCTATATATATATATATATATACATATACTGTGTGTGTATTTGGGCAGCATTTTTTCATTGATACATGTTTCATTGAATAATATAGACAAGTTTTGTCTATTTATTTTATGTAAATTCTTTTCATGTAGTCTGATAAGCTTAATAGCATTAACATTAAAAGAAGAAAGAAAATCACAATACTGATACCTATTTTTTTAATCCTATCTAATTTTATACATACATATATATATATATATATATATATAGATATAGATATATATATATATGATTTATACAAATATAAAATTTGTTACTTAGCTGGTTGATGTTATTCTCAGTATCCCAAATCTAAAGTTTCGTAGACCGACCCTCCAGCAATCGCTCCGTTCATTCAGGTAGGCAAATAAAGAATCGCTATGCTCAAATACTACGAATTATGTTATTGTAGGAAAATTTGCCATCACCACAAAAAGATATATATAACAAATGGTAAAAAAAAACCAAATGCGCACATACATGAATGTGTAGGTCAATATTTATACATGCTTATATAGCAATATTAATTATAGTTATTTTTTTAAAATTAAAATAAATATTAAAAATATACATTAATCACAAAATCAAAAATAAAATTAAATAAGTATAAGCCATTTAAATTGGTTCTTAATTTAAATGTTTTAAATATTGCGAATTTTTTCTAACAAAGCTCTAACGTAATATGAATTTCATATTTTAAATGTGAGAGTTATAAATATAAGATCTTATAATAATTTCTACAGATTTATCAAATATCTAGCTTGACGAACGTGATGATGCGAAACTCCGGAGTCGGTCGACGAGACAAGCCCATTGAACATTTAATGACTTCCTGACTGATATATATATATATATATATATATATATATATATATATATATATATATATATATGAAAGAAAGATAGTTTTAAGATGTGCTATATTTATGGGATAAAGTGCTCAATATCAGAGATAGAGCGTGTGTAAATATAAAAGTGAATATAGAAGTCAACACTTAGAGGCGACAGTAACTAAGTGTTGACTGGTGGCCTGACGACTGCATCTAGCATGAAACACACTGTCGCCTCTGTTGACTTCTATGTTCACTTTTATATATATATATATATATATATATATATATATATATATATATATCCATACAAGGTAAGTTAAATGCTACACTTCTCTATATTTTACGTAATAATTTCTAGCAGTCGCAAAAGAAATTGTCTAGGATTCTATGTATACAACTTCATGTCATGACCTATATAATTTTTTTTCAGTTGCTTTAGATTTTAGCGTTGGCCTCATATTTGATTGATTAATCAGGGTAAACCCACAAGCCTCATATCCAACCCACAAGCCTATTTTTTTCAAATAAAGAGGAAGAATATTTGAAATTAACATCGCACGAGGAGATACATCTGTAGTGTTAAAACACGATTGCTATTATGTAGCGATTTTAACATGTTTTTTGTTTTAATCTCCGGTAATGAATAATGCATATATATATATATATATATATATATATATATATATATATATATATATATATGTGTGTGTGTGTGTGTGTGAAAAGTGTCTGGCGATCGCAAAAGCGTGAAACCCAAAGTTACAAACTCACATCAATCCAACCATATATATATATATATATATATATATATATATATATATATATATATATATATATATATTTTTTTATGCTTATACATTCTTTTTATAGCTACAAATATTTAAGTAAATGCTCTGTTTATCATAAACAGTATTAAGCAACATTTACCGGCCTGAATGTCCGAAATTTTTCACAGAAAATATTCGTCGTCCGTCTTAAAATAATTGTCGGACTTCCATTTCCTAATATTTCTAATATATATATATATATATATATATATATATATATATATATATATATATATATATATATATATATATGAATTATAAAATATAGTTTAACCGTTTGCTATATTTACGGGTTAAAATGCTTCCCACTTTTACAGAAGTTTTCGTTAAAGATGATTGAAAAGGCACTAAGATTAAGCTTTTTATTGAATTTGTACGAGCACTTGTACGAAGACAAGAAAAATTAAATAAAAATTATAAACAATAGGAATTAAGATTACTCCATAATACTGATGATCATCATTTTTACCTTATAAATTAAAATTAAATTATATTAATAGGATTCACTTGGATTATATATCAACTGGATTTTCTGTATATATATATATATATATACATATATATATATATATATATATATATATATATATATATATATATATATATATATATGATTTATACAAATATAAAATTCGTCACTTAGCTGATTAATGTTATTCTCATTATCCCAACTCTAGAGTTTCGTAGATCGAGCCTCCCGTAATCGCTCTATCCACTCCTCAGAAGATATCCGCAAGTGACAATTTACTCCTTTTTCTTTTATATTGAGTTAAGAAACTACTTATGTACTTATTCTTACGAGGTGTGGGTCTTTCTTCTCGTCTTTCCATCATTTCCATTCTTTTTACATTTTGTGTGTGTTTGTGTGTGCGTGCGTGCATGTGTGTGTGTCTGTGTGTGTGCGCGCACTTGTCTGTACATGTGTACGCGTGTATGTGCCTGCCTGCCTGCGCGTATGCTCGTGTGTGTGAGCACCCGTGTATGTTGTATATGTATATGCGTACATGTACCGCGCGCGCGCGTGTGTGTGTGTGTGTGTGTGTGTGTGTGTGTGTGTGTGTGTGTGTGTGTGTGTGTGTGTGTGTGTGTGTGAATTTAGTCCTGAAATGTTAGCTGTATAACTTTAGGTCTGTGTAAACAATATTCACCACTTAAGTGCATTGAATAGAATCGTAATTAAATTCAAATACATTTTGGCGAAAAGGAACTATTTTGTCATCATGAAGTTATGAACTTACTGATACATCTCCATAAGATTCGACTAAGAGGTTTGTAGATTATCATCTTATGTGTTATTACTATTTTATGCTTGAAGATGTGTAGAGAATTCGATATCCTTATCAATTATTTCAAAGTTGACGTTACACATCTCTTAGCAAATGTGTTGATTTTCTTTGAGTTATTTTAACTTGAGGAAATACTTTACGTCATTACAGTTTTACATATTCGGCAAAATTTAATTATCCCTTGGGAAAGATAAATGTTTTAAAAATGTTCAACTTGAAATATATTTTTTGTAAATGTCCTAAGAAAATGTGAGTTTGTGGCAATCATACACAAATACATTCTGTTTACAGGGAATGGCTTGATTCAAAATAGACGAAGAGAGGCAAACACACAGACACAAACCAAGTGGAAATGCAGCGGTCAGTGAAGTTACACATTATAAAAGGTGTTAATGATAGATAGATAGATAGATAGATAGATAGATAGATAGATAGATAGATAGATAGATGGATATGGGCAGAAACAGATAGATAGATAGATAGATAGATAGATGAATAGATAGATAGATAGATAGATATGGGCAGAAACAGATAGATAGATAGATAGATAGATAGATAGATAGATAGATATAATGAACAGAGATCGATTGATAGAACAAAGTGACAGCTATATAGATAAATAAGAACAAAAAGAAAGAAGAAAAGGTGAACAAAAAGAACCAAAGAAAGAAAGAAAGAAAGAAAGAAAGAAAGAAAGAAAGAAAGAAAGAAAGAAAAGGAGAATGAAACGAATTATATGGGAAAGAAAGATAAAAAGAAAGAAGAATGAAACGAACTATATTTGAAAGAGAGGAAGAAGAAAGAAAGAAAGAAAGAAAGAAAGAAAGAAAGAAAGAATGAAAGAAAGGAAGAACGGAAGAAACGAATTATATGAGAAAGAAAGAAAGAAAGAAAGAAAAATGAAAGAAATAAAAGGAGAATGAAACGAATTATATAAGAAAGAAAGAAAGAAAGAAAGAAAGAAAGAAAGAAAGAAAGAAAGAACAAAACGAACTATATGAGAAAGAAAGAAAAGAAAGAAAGAACGAACGAAAGAAAATGAGAACGAATGAATGTATTGCCTATGGATATCCGAATAAAGTTTAAATACATATTCATCAACACATTCATTTTTTATTCATTGTCTGAGTTTCATAGTTCTTTTAATGATCAATAAAGTTATGCAATGTTGAACTGAATTAATTCGTTGATAAATGAACCTTTAGAATCACCAGGTACTGCATGCAAATTGTGGCCTCGTACCATGCAAATTATAATTTAGTACTTCGGAAATGGCCACCTCAGCGTGAAGGAATATGAATTGATTTCGTCTAGTTAACCATTACTGCTGAGATGTGAGACCAATCCTCATTGGGTACTCGATACATGTGGCCTTTTCAGCTTAGTAAATTACCACTAGTTCTCTAAGTATTTATACCCGCACACGAACGGTATATGGCACAAGGCCGGGTTTAAAGTGGGTTTCCCACGCACATTTCTTCTTCTTCTTCTTCTTCTTCTTCTTCTTCTTCTTCTTCTGTGTGCCATGTTCCTTCAGAATGTGGGCGATCATAGTTTTCCACAGCTTCCTATACTTTGTAGCCCTTAGCAGGGTTTATCCAATTGCAAAGCCACCAGATCTACGTTTTCACCATCCGTCAGATAAGATGTCTTCCGTTACCTCGATAAGCCCTTTGAGGGTCAAATTCTCTAAACACTCTTTCCTCATGATGTATCCAAGAAATTTCATCTGTGTTTTTTTTTCTGATTCTGAATGCTCTTTTTGTTACCATTTAGGAACAGGAACTGATCATACTCCCCATTCAGGCTCCAGGGTCTGAATGATTGATTTGTTTTTTACGGCTTACCAACCCGTTTTTTACGGCTCATCAACCTGTTTTTTATGGCTTACGAAATAGTTGCCCTTTATTTATTTTAAGAATAATTCTTTTTTTGGTTTGTTTTGCGGGTGAATACTGCATTAATTATATATATATATATATATATATATATACATATATATATAGATTGGCTCCTGAAAAATTAATTTCAGTTGAGCTCTCTGGGGAGGAGATGTGGGTTGGTAAACAGTGACTATTATAGCTATATAGCGAGACTATTCGCTAATGCGAATTGAGTCACTCCAGGTCACTGGGCGTGTTTATAAAGATAAACACGCTAAAAATCCACTTTCCACCTTAATGGTTAGAATCTCCGACTGACACCAGTTCAGTCGGGTTTCGACCCTAGCTAGAGGCAACCGGATGTCTAGCCACACTGATGAGTTGTGAAACAGCGAAACAGTCTGTCTGTGGATGATGGTATATATATATATATATATATATATATATATATATATATATATATATATATATATATATGATAAAGGTTTTAAGATACAAGTCGTGCTATTTAACTCAAAGCTGCGGAGAAAATATGGAGTCATATCTTCATCAAAGGTACTTGCGCGCAAGCGAATGTAACGAACCCAACTGGAATTCAAACTTGGCACTCGTATTTCCTATTCGGAGCCATTATGCCTTACACCACCCTCACATCCACCCTTAACGCACCTGGTATTCTCAAATGGTCACCCATCTAGGGAATGACAAGGCTCAACTTATGTGATCGGATGAGAATGGGTTTTTCAACGTGATTTGACCGTAAGCCCTCAGTCTCGATTATTTACTCTGCCTCTTACTATGGATCGGTACTGCCTGGGGGTACAGACAGTGGAGCTGAGTACATCATTCTTCATTTTAAACCCGATCTCCTATCTTGTGGGTGGGGCTTGCTGGTAATTATATATGAAGCTCGGCAAATGGATCTATTTTTAGCTCCTTTCAGTCTCTCTATTCTTTAAATAATATAAACCTGAAGAACGACTTTATTTGAAGTTTTATTTTTATCTACAAAATTTCGTTTGGATGTGCGCGAAGCGTAGCAGTTATTGGCGTGGTAAATGGAACCGGTATGCCGAGTTCAAATTCCAGTTGAGGCTGTTGCATTTACTTTCGCTCAATAACGCACCCAAAAGTCCGAGAATTGTGATGTTGGAAGTTCAGATATGCCAAAGGAACGCAGTAAAACACTTACAAATTTTATATACATTTCAAGAGGTCTAAAGAATTTGCCAAATGAAGGAAGGAAAGAATTAATCGAGGCAGGAACAAGGAAGAAAGGAAGGAAGGAAAGAAAAGAAGGGACCAATTAAAGATTGAATCAAAGAAACAAGGAAACAAGGCAGAAAATTAAACAAGTAACCAAGAAAGGAAGGACAGAATAAAAAAAGAAGGAAGACAGAGAGAAAGAATAAAGATTAGGAGTAATCAAGTCAAGAAGAAAAGAAGGAAGCAAAGGAAGGAAGGAAGGAAGGAAGGAAGGAAGGGTCGAAGGAATGAAGAAAAGAAGGATACAAGGAAGAATAGAAGGAAGGAAGGATCGAAGGAAGGAAGGAAGGAAGGATACAAGAAAGGAAGGAAAGAAAGAAGGAAGGATAGAAGGAAGGAAGGAAGGAAGTATAGAAGGAAGGAAGGAAGTATAAAAGGAAGGAAGGAAGGCAGGAAGGAAGGAAGGAAGGAAGGAAGGAAGAAATGATAGAAGGAAGGAAGAAAGGAAAGAAGGAAGGATACAAGGAAGGAAGGAAGGATCGAAGGAAGGAAGAAATGATAGAAGGATAGAAGAATGGAAGGAAGGAAGGATATAAGGAAGGAAGAAAGGAAGGAAGGACCCAATTAAACATTGAATCAAAGAAACAAGGAAACAAAGGAGAAAATTAAACAAGTAACTAAGGTAGGAAGGACAGAATAAAAAAAAGAAGGAAGACAGAGAAAAAGAATAAAAATTAGGAGTAATCAAGGCAAGAAGAAAAGAAGGAAGCAATGGGAGGAAGGAAGGAAGGGAGGAAAGAAAGAAGGGAGGAAGGAAAAAAAGGAAGGAAGGAAGGATCGAAGGAATGAAGGAAGGAAGGAAGAAAGGAAGGAAGGAAAGAAGGAAGGATAGAAAGAAGGAAAGAAGGAAGGAAGGAAGGAAGGAAAGAAAGAAGGATCGAAGGAAGGAGGAAATGATAGAAGGATAGAAGAATGGAAGGAAGGAAGGAAAGAAGGAAGGATAAAAGGAAGGAAGAAAGGAAGGAAGGACCCAATTAAACATTGAATCAAAGAAACAAGGAAACAAAGGAGAAAATTAAACAAGTAACTAAGGTAGGAAGGACAGAATAAAAAAAAGAAGGAAGACAGAGAAAAAGAATAAAAATTAGGAGTAATCAAGGCAAGAAGAAAAGAAGGAAGCAATGGGAGGAAGGAAGGGAGGAAGGAAGGAAGGATCGAAGGAATGAATGATGGAAGGATAGAAAGGAAGAAAAGAAGGAAGGTTAGAAGGAAGGAAGGAAGGAAGGAAGGAAGGAAGGAAGGAAGGAAGGAAGACTCAATCAAAGAATGAATCAAAGGAGCAAAGAAACGCGGTAGGAAATAACCAAAGAAGGAAAGACAGAATCAAAAAAGAAAGATATTAACAGAAATTGAGGAAGGAAGGAAGGAAGGAAGGAACCAATCAAAGAATGAATCAAGGAAGCAAAAGAACAAGGAAAAGAAATTAAGGAAGTAAACAAGGAAGGACAGAATAAAAAACGGAACAAATGAAAGAAGGTAAGCAGGAATCAAGGAATGAAAGAATGAGCCAATCAAAGAAGGAAATTAAAGAAAGTATCCAAAGAAGGAAGGAAGGAAGGGCGAAATCGAGGTCGGAAGAATCAGGAAAAGAAGGAAGTAATCATTCAAGGAAGCAGACAAAGAAAGAAAGAAAAAAAGCAAAGAAGGAAGCGGGGAAAGAAACTAAAGAAGGAATGAACTAATGAAGGAAATAAGGAAAAAAAGAAAGAAACTAAGTCATGTACGAATCAATGAAGGAAGGAAAGAATAACGCAAGGGATGTAGAAATTAAGGAAATAAAAGTAGACAAGAGAAAAAAAAAACTAAAACAAGAAATGAAAGTAAAAAAAAAAAATAATATTGAAGGGAGAAAGGAATTAACGAAAGAAAGATGGACACTTTAAACTTTCAACCGCTCCATTCTACGTCCTGCTTCATTCATTATAACCATATGGAATGAGAGAGTAATGCGCGTCTTTTTACTTCCAAATATAATCATCATTACCAGAGATTGCCAATTATTATTTGAGTCTCACTTCTATAAAAGCTTCTCCAAGATGAACAGGCGAAGAACGCTGATAGAATGTTTGAAAATTGAAAGAAAAAAATGGCGTTTATCTAATTGTCGACAAGATTGTTAGGATGAACTTTAATGTAGTGTAGCTTTTGTTTCATAAAGGGGAGTTCTTTTTCTATATGCCGTATCCGTTTGGGACGTCCGTGATCATGGCTCTCCATAATTTCCTGTACTTTGTTGTTGCTAATAAATTTTGTCTTCTGGTTATCTCCCCTGTTCTATCATCCATTTCATCCAATCACGCTCTGTTCAACTTAGTGTGGATTTGTCCTGTGAGTGTCGAATTTTCCAAGCCCTCTTTCCCCGTTACGTGCCCTAGAAATTTCTACTTTCATTTTTTTTATTCTAAGCATAACTGTCCTTATTTCGTTGTTTCTTTAAAACTTCGGCGTTACTCACATATTCGACCCATTGTATTCTCAGCATCCTTCTGTAGAACAACATTTCTGTTACTTCAAGCCTTTTCTTCATCTATGAGACGTTCAGCATTCACTAGCATATAGAAGTACTTATTTAGAACTCTTTTCTTTGTTTCTAACGAAACTTTCATGTTTCTTAATACTCTTCTTAGCTTTTGGAAGTCATCTTTCCCTATCCCAATGAACTTTCGGATTTCGGAGTTTCATTTACCGTCCTTAGGTAAATTTTGTCTTTTTTTTTTTTTTGCTGTCTTTCCTAATCCCTGTTCCGCCATCCATTTACAGAAACTTGTTAGGGAGATTATGCGCTGTTTTCATCTATCTTTCTTTCAATATGTCCTGTGAGTATCAAATTTTCTAAGCCCTCTTTCCTCATTATGCGTCCCAGAAATTTCCAACTGCCCCTTTCCGATGTGAAATACAAGTATTCTTTTCGTTTCAATTTTCTCCAAAACTTCATCTTTGATCACATGTTCAGTCCATGATATTCTCCGCATTTCTGTTGTGTCAGCTATGTTCTTAGTCTGCATTCACTGCCATATAGGAAGACAGATCTTACATAACATTTCGGTACTTTTCTTTGTTTCTAACGAAATCTTCCTGTTTCTTAATACTTTGCTTGTTGTTCATGATGACGGTCGTCTTCGAGTATAGAATCCAGGGGTTAGCAGTGAATATTTCGAAGACAGTAGGGAAGCGTAGTCCAGGTTAGCAGTGGATATTTTGGTAAAAGTAGCAGGGCGTAGTTCAGTAGTTCTTCCTTCTGTTCCTCTTCGCCTGACAAGTTGGCACTGGACATTCGGAGAGAGTAAACAAAATGGCCGCCTTTATACACGACGCATTAAATATTTTACGTCTTCTGATTGGTTAACCTTCTATTGGTGGACTATAAAGTGAGTCAAGTCATTTTGACTGGCTCACTAGTAAATACATATACACAAAAAACTGCAACATTGCTTAGCTTTTGGAAGGCATCTTTCGCTATCCATCGGATTTCAGTGCCGCACATTTTATCCTCAGTTAAAATATTTCCCAGTTTATTTAAACTGTTTTACTTGTTTGGTTTGGGTGTCACCGATTTGTAATTTGCAGGTTAGGCTGTTCGCTTTTGCTGGAAACCATGCATTTTGTCTTCTTGCAGTTGATCCTTCCGTTTAGCTTCACTTCACAATTTTCTGTAGGAGTTCTTGTAGTTTCCTTTCTGGGTCTACTACCAACACTGTGTCATCTGTATATTTTGTGTTTTCAAGATTGTGGCCAACAACAATGAATTTTGGAAGGGCTTTTTATTCTCTCAGAATTGCCTCACTGCATAGGTTCAATAATTCTGGGGAGAAGTCACGTCCTTGTATTACATAGATACATGGACGTTTTCTCCCTCTCTCTTCTCTCTTTCTCTCTCCTCTCTCTCTCTCCATATATATATATATATATATATATATATATATATATATATATATATATATAGTAATGATACAATATGGTAATCGTTATGGAATTTCCAGGAGGATATAGATCCAAGGAGAGCTCTATGTCAAAAGACGGAGCAAAATTATTATTAATTAAAGATTATCAAACAATTAAAATCCCATAGGTAATAATTTTTATTTCATGAGACCTCTAAAAGAGCAGTTCTTCATCTTCAGAATTGTGTGTTTTCAAGGATGTGGCCAACAACAATGAATTTTGGAAAGACTTTTTATTCTCTCAGAATCGCCTCACTGCATAGGTTCAATAAGTCTGGTGAGAAGTCTCATCCTTGTCTTACCTTTTTTTTTATATCTACTGAATTCATTTTCTATCCGCATACCGGCGGTTTGCTGCCAGTGTACGTTCTGGATTATTTTAATATCCTTACCCGAATATATCAAGGTCACCTTGCAATTCCAACATTTATAATACTTTGTTTATCATATATATATATATATATATATATATATGAAGAATATCAAGCTATTAAAATCCCATAGGTAATCATTTTTTTATGAGAGCTCTAAAGAATTTCGAAATCTTTAAAAATGTTCTCTTTTAATATTATTTGCAAATAATTTGTTGAATGAAATATATCAGCATTGGAATATGGCCGTTGACAGAACCAGACGGGATTGTTTAAACTTCACACTGAACCAATTACACTTTAAGCATTACGACCATTCTCAAATAACACACTGAGATCAGTATATCAAAATAGGTCAACACTATCTGTATTTTTCCCACTCTTTAAAGAAAATAGCAATATCTCCTGATTTTAACCCGGAATATTTTTTCCATTTCATTTGTGATTTGTTTATAGGCCTTGAAGATTGAGGGCTGCTTTTTTTAGTTCTCTCATGAAATAAAAATTATTACCTATGTGATTTTAATTGTTTGATATTCATTAATTAATAATAATTTTGTTCTGTCTTTTGACATAGAGCTCTCCTTGGATCGATATCCACCCGGAAATTCAATACGGATTACCATATTGCATCATTATATATATATATATATATATATATATATATATATATATATATATATATATATATATATACCTTGCATGGAGTATTGCTATATATATGGCTGGAGCACCTTCTGCTTACCTCAGAGTTCTTGACAAGATCCAGAGAAGGATATGTAATCTAATTGGACCTGATCTAGTGTCTTGCTTGCAGTCACTCTCTCACAGACGCGCCGTCGCCTCTCTCTGTCTTTTCTACAAATACTTCCATGGTAACTGCTCTGATGAGCTGCTCTCTCTAGTTCCCAGACTCCATGAATTCAAGCGCCCTACGAGGCTGGCATCCCGCTCTCACCCTTACACCGTAGAAACCTTCAAATGTAGCCGTCTCTTCTACTCCAATAGCTTCATACCTGGCACCTCTCGCCAGTGGAACACCCTCCCCAATTACTGTTTCCCTGAAAGCTATAATCTCCAACTATTCAAATGTAATGTCAATCGACATCTCCAATTACCTTGATCTACCCACTATCCTTCTCCTCTTCCTTTCTCCTATCACTCTTATCTGCTCTCGCTCCAAACCCCCTGCATCCTAGTGGCTTCACGCCTTGCTTGGGGCACAATGCTTAAAAAAAAAATATATATATATATATATATATATATATATATAGAGAGAGAGAGAGAGAGAGAGGAGAGAGAGAGATGGGGAGAGAAAACGTCCATGTATTCTTAACTAGAAATATCGATGAAAATCGAAGAACTTATATATTGCAAAACGTTGATTTGAACGCTTTGAACTTTCTGTTTATTAACGTATTCTACTTTGCCATACACGGAAATGCTTTCTTTCCGTAAAGATTATACACTTAAAGAAAGTCGTAGAATGGATCGGCTGAAAGATTATAGGAACAACATAACACGAAAAAGTATTTCCATTGCCCGAAAAGAAACTGCAATCATAATAGCGCTTCTCAGAATTTAAAAACTTCTATCTCCCTTAAGGATTATTTAACTGAAGAAAGCCGTAGACGACATCGGCTGAAATTTTGTGTTAACAACATTAGTAA